TCATCTTCATTACTGAATTTTCTTTCTAAGATTTATTTTTATTTGTGTGTATATGTGTATCTGTGTGTGCTCATAGAGGCCAGAGACATTCTTGATCCCCTGACACCAGAGTAATAGGCAGTTGTGAGCTGCCTGACATAGGTGCTGGGAATCAAACTCAGGTCCCCTGGAAGAGAAGTGGTCTTAATCACTGAGCCATCTCTCCAGCCAGTTGCTGAATTTTCTTATAAGCAAAAATTAAAACTCTCTATAGAAAACCACTTTTGGCATTTTGATATATATTTAAGATTTTAATAACTGCAGAATATACATGAAGATAATAATGTATATAAAAATGTGCAAAAATAAATAAGAAAAACTGAATCAATCTAAAAGTCCATCTCCAGGACACCAGTACTAGTCACACACATACTTTCACTTAATGTTGCTTCATAACTGACTTTTCCATTGAATAAGAAGTATTAAATAAAAACACAGTAACATTTTTCACATGAGATAGGCAAAAGATCCAGGAAAAGGGCATTTCACTACTTCATTCACTATTAAAAAGCAAACTGTCAGGTGTAGTGGCATACTCCTTTAATCTTAGCACTCAGGAGGCAGAGAACTCTATGAGTTCAAGGCCAGCCTGGTCTATATAGAGTTCCAGGCCAGCTGGGGTTACAGGAAGACGCTGTCTCAAAAAGACTACAAAACAAAACAAAACAAAACAAAACAAAAACAAAAAGAAAAAGAAGCAAACCAAAAAGCTGCTTTAGGAGTCAATTTGGTAGCACATACTTTTAACTACATGAGGCTGGAGAGATAGCTCAGCTGTTAAGAGCACTAACTGCTCTTTCAGAGGACCCAGGTTCAGTTCTCAGCGCCTATGTGGCAGCTAAGTTATCCTTAACTCCAGTTCCAGGGGTTATGATGTCCTGGGTATTGCAGGCACATAGTGCACTTTCATACATTCAGGGAAACCACTCTTACACACAAAATTAAAAAAAAAAAATTTTTTTTCATCTTTTTGAGACAGGGTCTTTCAGTAGCCCCAGCTGGCATGGAACTCGCTACATAGACCAGGCTGGCCTCAAACTCACAAAGATCTGCCGGCCTCTGCCTCCTGGGATTAAAGGCATATGCCACCACCACACCCCACCTGAATTTTTAAAAACTTACCTGCACTAGTCTTTCACCTAGCTAATTCCATACATATTTTTATATCTGCATAAATATATAGGTAAAAAGTGCACTGCAGCATTATATATAACAAGGAATCTGAAACCAATGTACCAACAAACACACACACGAACAGTCAGTTCTTGTTTGACACAGTAGCTTAGAATCATAAAAGTGACTGTAAACTCACTTTGTAGAGCAATCTACCCCTCCCCCTTTTTAGACATTACCTCTAACTGTAGTCCAGGTTGGCCTGGAGCTCATGGTTCTCCTGCCATACTTCCCACTGATGAAATTACAGATGCATGCCACTATGCTTAGTGATTTTAATGATTAATTAAGAAACTAATTGTTCTCCAGGCATGGTGGCCCATGCCTTTAATCCCAGCACTTGGGAGGCAGAGGCAGGGGGATCTCTGTGAGTTCAAGGCCAGCCTGGCCTACACAGTTCCAGAATAGCTGCGACTATAGGGAGACTGTCTCAAAAAGACAAGAAAGAAAAAGTGAATTGTTCTATGATCTTTAAAATTTTTGGTCAATAACTGAAAACTTCATTACCATCAGCTCTTATTAACGTACAGGGAAGTAGAAGAAAAGTAATTTTTTAGTACCTTCTTATTTAAAACATTAGAAACATTCAGAATCTTTTTTTTTTTAATTATGTGTATGAGTGTATTGCCTGCACGTATGTGAGCGCACCCGTATTGTGCATTGCTGCGGAGGTCAGAAAAGGGCTTCGGATTCCCCTGGAACTGGAGTTAAGGTGGTTCTTAGCTGCCATGTGGGTGCTGGGAATCGAACCCGGGTCCTCTGCAAGAGCAGTCAGTGCTGTTAACCGCTGAGCCAACTCTCCAGCCCACATTCAAAATCCTTAAAAACTTCTTTTTTGCAATGATTTAAGAGGATTAAATTTTTTTTTTAAAATTTTATGTGGATGAGTATTTTGCCTGCATACATGTAGTTACCATGTGCATACCTGGTGCCTAGTGCCTGTGGAGGTCAAAAGAGGAACTGGAGTTACGGATGGTTAGATATCATATGGGTGCTGGGAACCAAACCCAGGTACTCTGCAAGAGCAGCCAGTGTGCTCTTTACCACTGAGCCATCTTTCTAGCCCCAATTTAAGGGGAATTTAAACATTGCTTTCTTTCTCCTTGTATAACTTAGGACATGGAATCTTTTCTCTGTCTCAGAGAGCAGTCATACACCAGAGACTAAATGAGCTTCTGACATCTTTTGAACTTCAACATGAAATGTCTCCAGAAGTCCTTTAATGTGAGGGGTGTTGCAAAATTACTACTTCTGCAACATCTCCATCCTTTTATCACAACTATATCCCTCACTTATGTCACCAAGTTGCCTTCATACAGTCACTAACAGTAACAGTCGCTGTTCTACTGTTCATTAACATCAGATTTGAACTTCACTTTGTGTTACCGTTTTTCATTTTCTTTGCTGCACTTTCACTTTTGCCAACTGATTCCCTTTTTCAATCATACATTTTGTTGTTTGATGTGTGTGCATGCGCGCATGTGTGTCTGTCTGTCTGTCTTAATATGCTGTCCAGTTATACAGTGAATTTCTGGGCTCAAGTGATTCTCCAGGCTCAGCCTCTCATGTAGCTGAGACCAGGTGTGTGCACCACTGGGTCCAGCTCAAATACTCACTTTTTTTTTTTTTTTTTTTTTTTTTTTTTTTTTGGTCTTTTTGAGACAGGGTCTCCCTGTAGCTCCAGCTGTCCTGGAACTATGTAGACCAGGCTGGCCTTGAACTCACAAAGATCCGCCTGCCTCTGCCTCCCAAGTGCTGGGATTAAAGGTGTGCCCCAACTCAACTACTCACTTTTATAAAATGTTATATGGTTTTTAGCTGAAAGATAAACAGGCACCACACTCTGAATAACTGAGTAACAGATAGGCAGTAACCACACTGGTAGACTGATGAAATATTGACATGACTGGCCTTGATCACCAGGAGCATTACTACTTACGGAGTGATCTGTGGACTGAAGAGCTAACAGGGAAGTTTGCAATTTATTTAAGTACTCATATAATGGTAACTGAAATTTGATCCATATTGTTGAAGGACTGGTTTTATTTCACTAAACTGTAGTAAGTGACCTTTATATATCAGAATTATACAAAGTGAGGACTGCCAGTACCATGTAGCCATTAAAGAAAACAAAGGCCTATATAAACCAATAGGAAAAGATCTTTAAATCATTAAATGCAAAACTCATACCTCAGAACATTATATAAAATATCCCATTTAAGCTGGGCATGGTGGCATATGCCTTTAATTCTGGCACCCAAGAGGCAAAGGCAGGCAGATCTCTATGAGATCCAGCTTAGTCTACATAGCAAGTGTCAGGCCAGTTGAGGCTACAGGGAGACCCTGTCTCAAAAAAAACCCAAAACCAATATCCCATTAAGGGGCTGGAGAGATGGCTCAGTGGTTAAAAGTACTGGCTGCTCTTGCAGAGTACCCAGGTTTGGTTCCCAGCACCTACATGGCAGCTAACAATCATCCATAACTCCAGTTCCAGGAGATCCAACACCCTCTTCTAACCTCATGGGCAATCAGACGAATGCACTTGCATACATGCAGACAATCTACACATACACATAAAATAAATTTTTAAAGTTTATTTATTATTTTATGTGTATGAGTGTATTGCCTGCATGTATGTGAGTGCACCCATGTTGCACAATGCCGTGGAGGTCAGAAGAGGGTTTCGGATTCCCCTGGAACTGGAGTTAAGGACGGTTCGTAGCCGACATGTGGGTGCTGGGAATCAAACCTGGGTCCTCTGTAAGAGCTGTTAGTGCTCTTAACCGCTGAGCCATCTCTACAGCCCCCAAAATAAAATTCTTTAAAACACCATTAAGATAAACAACCCCTGCCAAGGTGTGCTGGAGCACACCTTTATTCCCAGCACTTGGGAGGCAGAGACAGGCAGAACTCTGTGAGTTCAAGGCCAACCTGGTCTACATAGTCAGTTCCAGGACAGCTGGGGCTACAGGGAAACCCTTTCTCAAAAAGACCAAAAAAAAAAAAAAAAAAAAAATTAAAATAAAGAATATCTCCTATTGACTTATGTAGAAATTGTGTTAACTCATTCAACAAAATGTATCTATTCCAGGGCAGCAAGATGGCTCAGCAGGTAAAGGTGCTTGTGACCAATCCCTTGAACACACATGGCGGAAAGGAGAACTGATTCCTACAAGCTGTCATCTCACTTCCACATGCACATGCGCACACAAACAAAGAAACAATAAATAAATGAAATTTTCTGTCTTTATTTGAAGTGGCTGCTAAATGTCTATGACACCCTGCTTAGTACAGGGTCAACAAAATTCATGCTTCCCCTGACATTGCACAGGGTTGCTCCTAAGAAGCAGCAGCCTAATCAGAGACTGCATTTCCCAGTTCCTTTGCATCTGGATAAGACCAAATGGCTGGCTCACCAGAGGAGTGTGAATGCACTATCACCTTGGTGGGTACCCAGGTTAAAGAGAGCATACCCTTCCTTCCCAATGTCTCTGAGGCACTAGGTGACAAACCCATAAAATCAAAAAGATTGATTCTCTGGCTCATCATATGGAACAAAGTCATCTGTTAACTAAAAATACACCAGCTATTATGTGATTGAGAAAGGAAGAAGCCACTGAAATTCTGGAGCTTCTTATACTGACTAGCATTATTCTAACACATGCACAGACAAGGACTGTACATATAGAGAAGCAAGTCTATGAAGACAGGAGCCAAAAAGCTAACTTTGGTATTATATGTACCAAGCAAAATAAGGACTAGAACCAATATGCTAGTCAATCACATACCTCATACTCTGGTCCAAAGCCAGCAGAACCACAGAACCGTCCAGAAAGTCTCCAGAGGTAAGGGATTCCTCCAAAGAGAAGGATAAACTGTAAAACAAAGCACACTATGGTCACATATGAACAGTATTAGCAACTACCATATGTCATCAGGAAAAAGAGAAAATAAAAACTCTACAGAAAAAAAAGTTTTAGAATAACATATAAATTTGGAAGCATACAAACTACTAAGAGACTAAGTTTAGACTACTGAGATATTTTTGCCTATATTGATAAACTATATTGTCTATGAATTTTATTTCAAAAGTCTACTTAAATAAGTAATCCCAGGAGTCTCACTCATGGAACAAAATAATAATAATATAGAAGGAAACAAAATAGTGATCGCCAGATACTGGGAGGGGATTGGAGGAAGTGTCCGGAGATAGGCTAAATAATGGGTTCCAAAACAGTCAGTAGGAATTACTTAGGCATTCTATAGCATACTAGAAAATGTAGTCTATAATAATCTTTTAAATATTTCGATAGAACCATGAATCCAAAGGTTTCCAAGAATAGAAATGATTAAAGAATAGAAATTATAAGTACCCTGATTTGATTGGTATATATGGGATACATTATGTTGTAGTCATACATATATATACGCCAGTGAAAAGTAAAAATAAAAAACAGGAGCCAGATGTCATGGCACATGCCTTTAATCCCAGCACTCAGAAGGCAGAGGCAGATGATCTCAGTGAGTTTGAGGTCAGCCTGGTGTACATAGCAAGTTCCAGGCCAGTCAGTGCTACACAATGAGACCCTGTCTCAAAACAACAACAGGAGAGAGACTGGAGAGATGGCTCAGTGGTTGAAAACACGGGCTGCTTTTGTAGAGGACCTGAGTTGAGGTCCCAGCATCCTCAGGGTGGCTAACAACCACCTGTAATGCTAGTTCCAGGGGATCTGATGCCTTCTAGACTGTAAGGGCATTGCATGGACATCGTGCACTTACTTACATGTAGGCAAAACACTTACACACATTTAAAAAAAAACCAAGAGGGAATAGGGAGATATTGAAAACAGGTAGAAGATTTTTCATTATTTACTTCACAATGACAAATGTTTATGGTGATGGATATGCTAATTGTCCTGATATGATCATCCTATGATGTAACAAAACATCAAGTGTACTCTAAAAACATGTACAATATGTGTTAACTATAGCTTAATAAAGTAAATAAAAACTTTGGTCAAGAGACCATAACAAAAAGTTACAAATCAAACTAAGCCTATCCCAAATCCCACAGGTAATAGTGATAGACAGAAACGGACCCAGGCAATATGGCTTCATAACTGTCTTTGTCATGTCTTTGTCATAAAAGGAAACTGTCCTTTTCAGTAACAATAAAGCATTAGTTTGTTGTTGTTTGAGATAGGGTCTTAACATTATGCTGTCCTGGTTTGTTTTGAACTCATGGGCTCAAATGATCATTCTGCTTTCCACAAAGCTGGGACTATAGATGTATTCCACCATTCCTAGCTAAAGTATTAGCATTGATATAGAAGTGGTGAATCATGTCCACTTACCAGACTGTGGGACAGAACAGGATACTTGGGCCTTCCCAGAATCAGGAAAAGGTGAATCCTGAGCCAGGAGTCAGGGTTTCATGAGTAGGCCCCTTCCTTGGCACAACCTTTGTCTTGGCCAAATGAAGTGAACACAGACATTCACTAGATTCAGGAGCAGCCCAACTGACTCAGAGGCTGGAAGTGGACCCCAACAGTCTGCAGATGATTCTGGTAGACACTAACATTTACAAGTGACTGTTTAAATAAGCTGATTTTGAAAAGCCTCCCCCAACTCTGTGTCTAAACATTTCTACTACAATTAGCTCAACCTTGGCTGTGAGTAAACTTGTTCCTAGAAGATATACTCTGGCACCACTGCTGCATGTTCCAGGTGTTGAGCTAATTCGCTTGGGATGGCATTCTTTTGTCCTGCTCTTAACACTAATAAATAATGTAGAATTAAGGATTTATAATGATTTTAGTAGAAGGCTAAAACAACTACTATTAAAAGTTCAGCTCTTAAATAATAAATATCAAGGGTATTTTAATATGAACATTGAATGATTTATGAATGCACCTGAAAAGTGTTTTTCCAAACTATGTTCAGTTTTCTTGGGAAGTGAAAAACAAAGCAGGGTGAAGTATAAGCGCTCTCTATTTTAATAATCTCACTGAGCACACTCCTGGAGATGTCCTAGGACAAGGATTAAGAAGCCACAAGGGGCTGGAGAGATGGCTCAGTGGTTAAGAACACTGGTTATTCTTGCAGAAGACCTGGGTTCGAATCCCAGCACCCACATGGCAGCTGTCTGTAACTCCAGTCCCAGGGGAGCAGACAGCCTCTCCTATCTACCGCGGGCATTGCACAACATGGATGCACTTACTTACATGCAAGCAATACATGCATACACATAAAAAAAAAACCAATAAAAATAATAAATTAAAAAAACACAACAAAAACAGTACTTTGACACATACTTTACTATAGTCTTAAAAAGCAGGCACAGCAAGGAGCATGATCATCTTTATTTTATAGATACGGCAACTGGAACTCAGAGAAGTTAAAGTAATGCCCAAAGTCCAATGGTTAAGTGCTTGTTACGGCTGAGACCCATACTGAGTGCTTCATTTGTATTACCTTGCCTACTCAGTCCATACCACAAACCATATGAGGTAAAGTCTAGCCAATTGCTGAGGTACAGTTTCAGTGAGAGACCCTGTTTCAAACAATACTGGCTATTGCTCCTGCTCTAGGTTACCCACCAGAACTTGGCAGTGAGACCCTATTGCTAAAGATATTACACACCTGCGCCATAGAACAAACAAGAAAAAAATCAGGCTGGTACTGACTTCAAGGCTTCATCTCTACTGGCTAGCTGTCACAGTGCCGGAAGGTGCTATGCATGCTACTGTAAGGGAAAAGTAATCATCAACCTTGTCCAGCTATGAATCCTGAGAGCTACAACAACTAGCCTGGCAAGATATGTCCACTGGTGCAATAGAAGCACAAATGTTGTGGGAGGAACCAACTACTTTGGATTTAAGGTCTGCTTCATAAGATGGAAGACATACCTGACACCTATATAAACTCTAGGAAACTATAGCTAGACAGGTTACAGGCCATAGGGGAGAGTCTACTACCATTAATCTGCTAAATAGACATAGTATTACACTCACTCTTAATGACTTGTTATACCCATAGATTAATGCATCTCTCAACTCATCAGAGAAGTATCCTCATGCAGCAGATAGTAATTAACCCAGAAACCCACAAATGGCCAGTGTGCAGAGAATAAGAAACTGCAGAGGACTTATCCCTGAATAGGACATCTATACCAAACTTCTGCCTCCCAAGGCTCAGGAATCATTGCAAAAAAAAAAAAAAAAAAAAAAAAAAAAAAAGGGTGGAAAGAGTGTAAGAGCAAGAGGAGGTTGATGACCACAAGGAAAGTTTTCTAGACAGCTGGGCACTTACTCAAATGAACTCATAGCAATGGTGACAGCATGCACAAGATTCATGTAAGTGTAAGCCAGACAAAATCCCTGCATAGAAAGTGCGAAGTGGGGGCTGGAGAGATGGCTCAGTGGTTAAGAGCACTGGATGCTCTTACAGAGGACCCAGGTTCAATTGCCAGCACCCACATCGTGGCTAGCAACCATCTGTAACTCCAGTTCCAGGGGAATTTAATGCCCTCTTCTGACCTCCGCAGGCACTGCATGACACAGGGACACTTTCATGCATGCAGGCAATACACTCATGCACAAAATAAAATAAAAATTTTTTCGGGGGGTCTTTTTTTTTGGAGACAGGGTCTCCCTGTAGCCCCAGCTGACCTGGAACTCGCTATGTAGACTGGGCTGGCCTCGAACTCACAGAGATCCGCCTGCCTCTGCTGGGATTAAAGGCGTGCGCCACCATGCCCAGCAATAAAATATTTTTTAAAAAAAGAAGAATTGGGGAAGTGGATAAGAATCCCCAATCCATGCTGAGGAACTATTGGCAACTGAAAGCTGTTGGGAGAGGGAAAGTCAGTTTTCTTTAAGGGTGTGATGCTGGATAGGTTAACCAGGCTCCAGTGGATAGACCCATACCAAAGGGCATTTAGGAACACAAATTTGACTCGATAGGCCATAATAATCTAAGAGAGTATATGAAATCAGGCAGGAGGTATTAAGGGAAAAGTGCAGCTGGGGAGGGGTCTAAATATGATAAAGATATATGAAAAAGGTTCAAACAACAAGGTAGAGAAGTGATTGAGGAAGGCACTAGACATCAACCTTTGGCCCCCATGTTTATGTGCACACATGAGCACAGACACACACACACAAACATTATCTGAGCTTTTCTATCTGCTCCTCCCCACTCTCCAATCATTCCAGTTCTTGTTAGAGACTTGCTGTAGTCTTGCTATATTGCTAGGTTGGGCTGCAGCTCTTGGACTCAAGTGATCCTCCTGCCTCAGCTCTCACAGCTAGGGCTACAGGGTACAGTGCCACAGTGCCAGTCGTTCCATTTTGGGGCAGTCTCTTTACTGACATCTGTGGGATACCAGGTAAAGTCCATCTCAGGGAGTCTGCACATCTTTCTCATTGGCTACTTTGTCACATTTATGTGAAAACTAACTCCTACAAACTGGTTACAGAGGATTCTTCTTAGTTTCCCTGGGGCACAAAGAACCAAGGCACAAAGGGGAGGGCTAAGTTAATGTCCTTACTCTGTGATCAAAATGTAAAAGCTATTAAATTTTTTTGAGAAGGTCTCAAACCTATTTATTTATTTATTTATTTATTTATTTTTGTCTTTTTGAGACAGGGTCTCCCTGTAGCCCCAGCTGTCCTGGAACTCACTATGTAGACCAGGCTGGCCTTGAACTCACAGAGATTCGCCTGCTTCTGCCTGCTGAGTGCTGGGACTAAAGGCGTGCGCCACCACACCTGACCAAACCTATTAATTTTAATCAAGACAAAATATGACTGCTTTCTATCCAATGGCAAATGCGGCTACTAATTTCCAAAAAGATAATTCCAGTACATTTATGTTGTGGTTCATAGTTTGACCATAATTTTATTTTTAATTTTTTAAATTTTTATTTATTATTTTTATTTTATGTGTGTGTATTGCCTGTGTTTGCATGTAGGTAGGTATTGTGCAATGCCCGTGGATGTCAGAAGAGGGCATTGGATTCCCAGGAACTGGAGTTACAGATGGCTGTGAGCCGCCATGTGGATGCTGGGAATCAAACCCAACCAGTGTTCTTAACCGCTGAGCCATCTTTCTAGCCATAATTTAATTTTTAATTTTTTTCCTGTTTTTTGATTGACCTTTATTGAGAAATTTAATCTTATAATTATTGAATACCTATTGTGCTGGATAGTTTTAGTGTCAACTTGACACACCTGGGGTATTTTTAATTTAAAAAAAAATACTTTTATTTGCCAGGCGTGGTGGCACATGCCTTTAGTCCCAGCACTTGGAACACAGAGGCAGTCAGATCTCTGAGTTCAAGACCAGCCTGGTCTACATAGTGAGTTCCAGGCCAGCTGGGGCTACAGGGAGTGTATTGCCTGCATGCATGTAAGTGCAATGTCTACAGAGATCAGAAGAGGGTGTTCAAATCCCGTAGAACTGGAGTTACAGACGGTTGTTAGCCACCATGTGGGTTCTGGGACTCAAACCCAGGTCCTCTGCAAGAGCAGACAGTGCTCTTAACTGTTGAGTCATCTCTATAACCCCTTTACTTTAAAGTTTTAACTTATTACATGTATATGAGTGTTTTACCTGCATGTATATAAGTGTACTTCCTCAGGCAATGCCTGCAGAGGGCCAAAAGAGGGCACTGGATTCCCCTGGAACTGGAGCTGTGAGTCCTTTCATGTGGATGCTGGGAACCAAACCAAGGTCCTCTGGAAGAACAGCCAGAGCTCTTGACCGCTAAGCCATCTCTCCAGCCCTTAACATAAATTTAAAGATTCAGAAGAACAGAGTTTGAAACTCAGTTCTCCTACGTATTGGAGCAGCTCTTCGCTATTAAATGGGCAAACCATGGGACAGTGGGATGGCTTAGAAAGTTGTCCTCTACCAGGGGTGGGGGGGGCGGGGGCGCATGCCTTTAATCCCAGCACTCGGGAGGCAGAGGCAGGTAGATCTCTGAGTTCAAAGCCAGCCTGGTCTACATATTGAGTTCCAGGCCAGCTAGGGCTACAGAGAGACCCTGTCTCAGACAAACACACACACACACACACACACACACACACACACACACAAAAAAAAAGAAAAAGAAAAAAAAAGTTGTCCTCTGAACTCCAGATGCATGTACCCACACAAAATAAATTATTTTTTTAAAATAGGCAAGCCATTTAATTTCTGTGAGCCTTCATTTCCTCCTATAAAAAGGGAATAAGGCCTATCCCTCTACTTCATGTTCATAAACATCAACAATAGACAAAAACTGTATGAAGTGAGCAGGATGTGGTAGTGCAGGCTTTTAATCCCAGCACTGGGGAGGCAGAGGCAGGTGGATCTCTGTGAGTTCAAGGCCAGCCTGGTTTACAAAGTGAGTTCCAGGGGCTAGAGAGATGGCTCGGCAATTAAGAACACTGGTTGTTCTTGCAGAAAACCCAGGTTCGAATCCCAGCACCCACATAGCTGCTAACAACTGTCCGGAACTCCAGTTCCAGGGGATCCGAGACCCTCTTCTGTCCTCTGTGGGCACTGCACAACACGGGTGCACTTACCAACAAGCAGGCAATATACGCGTACACATAAAATAAAAATAATAAAATTTAAAAAACAACAACAACAACAATAAGTGACTTCCAGGCCAGCTGGAGTTACCGGGAGACTATGTCTCAAAAAAGACCAAAAAACCCCCACAAAAAATATATGAAGTAAAAATCTCAACTATTACTGTTTTCAGATTCAGCCCATTAGTACTGCTTACTTAGAGTATAACCATCACACACTGTAATAGCCCTTTTTTTTTTGGTCTTTTTGAGACAGGGTCTCCCTGTAGCCCCAGCTGTCCTGGAACTATTTACACCAGGCTGGCCTTGACCTCAGAGATATGCCTGCTTCTGCTTCCCAGTGCTGGGACTAAAGACGTGCGCCACCATGCCTGGCTGTAATAGCTATTTTTATACTCTGTTGGTAGACGACATTAAGTTCTTTTTTTAAAAAAAAATTTCATTATTTCTATTTTTTGTTATGAGTATATTGCCTGCGTGTGTGTAAGTGCACCCGTGTCATGCAGTGGCCACGGAGGGGTCAGAACCCCTGAACTGGAGCTACAAACAGTTGTTAGCCCCCATGTGGATGCTGGGAATAGAACCCAGGTCCTCTTGCAAGAGCAGTCAGTGCTCTTGACTGCTGAGTCATCTCTCCAGCTCCTGTAATAGCTATTATCCATACCTCTGTCATCTAGAACTGAGCCATTCCCACAATCACCAATCATAATTGCCAAGCTATTACCCATCTTTCCTGAAACTACATACTAGTGATGATTATGAAGAAACCAAAAATGCTTTTCTATCATTTTATCATGGTCTTGTGGGGTTAAGTCAAAGTACTTTAGCTTTTGCAAGGCTTTTTAGTTCAGTCTCCAGCAAAACCAGGAGAGGGAGAAGGAAGAGGAAGAGGAGGAGAAAGAGAAGGCATAACAGACCTGACCAGGCAATTACAGAACAACACACAGTGTAAGATTCTTTTCTTTCCACACCTGGCCTTCCGGTGACAGATACCACGTTTTACAATTTTGGCCGACTAAGCAATTATGTTTCTGCCTCTTCTACTCCATACCCATTGTCAGTAAGGTTATGGTTGGGAATGTAGCTCAGGGTTGGAGTAACATGCTCAAGGTACTAGGCTTGAGTTCCAGGTCAGCTGGGGCTAGTGGGAGACCCTGTCTCAAGAACAACAACAACAAAAAGAATAATAATACACACACACACACACACACGCAATTTTTTTTTTTTTTTTTTTTTTTTTTTTTTGTTTTTTTTTTGGAACAGGGTCTCCCTGTAGCCCCAGTTGGCTTGGAACTCACTATGTAGAACAGGCTGGCCTTGAACTCACAGAGATCTGCCTGCCTCTGCCTCCCAAGTACTGGGATTAAAGGCCTATGCCACCATACCCAGCATAACACATATATTTTTAAAAGGTTAAGAAAGCACTCTAGAATTTTACAGGCATTGGTACAAAAATGCATAAACAAAAACAAGCATTGCAAAGTATTAATCAATGTGAGAAATTGTCTCTGCAAAGAAATAAATTACTCACAGTGCCTTCCATTTCTGAATAGAGTCCTGACCAGAAGCTGAATGTACTTTTATCCAGTTGATACAATCGAGATTTCTCAAATGTTTCCGAATCCATGATCTGTCCTAACTCTGGTGGTACATGAGTTGTTGTTTTATATATCCTTCTCTGAAACATTTGGATGAAAACACTTTAATGAACAATTTTTGAAACCATACAATAGCAATTTATGGTCAAACACTGAAAGGTTTATAGCACTAATTTGTCACACAAACCTGTAGAAACTGTTCACACATATTCAAACTGCATTTAGCCACAGACATTGACCTCTAAAACAAGAGACACAGGGAAATAAAAGCTGCTAAGAAGTTCTGAGACTAGCTGACTAGGTGGAATTACAATCAGGGCTGTGTATATCTCAAAATATAAAAAACAAATTCATGAAAAAGAGAAGCAAATAACCACAAGCATTAACTACAAGCATTAACAGGGGTTATGAATGGTCATTAAATTTGTTCTTAGAAGTCAAATTAAGGAAGAACTGAGGAATGACAGAAATATATCAGGTCTTTACAACCAACTTTCTCATGTAAAATTCTAAGGTAGGGGCTGGAGAGATGATGGCTCAGCGTTTAAGAACATTGACTGTTCTTGCAGAAGACCCGGGGTTTGAATCCCAGCACCCACATGGCAGCTAACAACTGCCTGTAACTCCAATTCCAGGGGATCCAACAGCCTCTTCTGTCCCCCGTGGGCATTGCACAGTACGGGTGTACTTACCTACATGCAGGCATAACACTCATACACATAAAATAAAAATAAATAAAATATTAAAAAATAAATTCTGAAAGGTAATTTCATTCCCCAGAACATAAACACAGGGAACAGATACCAAAACACACAATAGATCAGATCTTCCAAACAGTTTTACAACAAATACCTTACTGTTTGTCGATAAAAGCTGAAGGTGTTAAGAAATAATTTTACAAAGGTACTACTGATTGAGAAGTAACTACGGAGAGCTGGAGAGATGGTTCAGCGGTTGTGAGCATTTGTCTGCCCTTTTAGAGGACTCAGGTTGGGTTCCCACCACGCACATGGTGGCTAACAACCTTCGTAACTCCAGTTCCAGGGGATTCAAGAAGACACTACACAAATGGTACACTTACAACACACACACACACAAGTGAAAAATTCTTTAAGTAGTTATGGTAATTAGGCTTATTATTGAACGATGGCAGATAAAAGCTCAGCATCTCACCTTCCTGCTTTGACACCACATTGTTCGGTACTGACTTTAAGCAAAGGTACTTATGCAGAGTAGCAAGATCCTGTACTAATGAAGTTTTGGATACCTTGCTACAGTGCTTTTAGCACTTTGAACATACTAAAGAGACTGAGGCATAACCCTGACACTGACAGATTTTCAAAAATTAAAAATATCAGTTCATAGATTCATGCAAAATGTAGCTCAGTGTAAGGCACTTACCTGACTGGCAGGTCCAGCTCCTATGTTTCATCCCTAGCACCACAATAAACAAACTCATGTACAAGGTCAATGAAAAGAAAACTGCAGAGGAAAAAGACTGAAATGCTCAAGAAAACTTTTTTCTTTTACTGCCGGAATGTTATCAATGACAACACAAAAGAGTGTAAGTAAAGCAGACAGCAGCAAAGAGACTCAAACAAAATTGATGATTAAAAAGCTACTTGAGAGATGGCTCAGTGATTAAGAGCACTGACTGCTCTTGCAGAGGACCCGGGTTCGATTCCCAGCACCCATATGGCTACAAACCGTCCTTAACTCCAGTTCCATGGGAATCTGAAGCCCTCTTCTAGCCTCCACAGCATTGCACAACATAGGTGCACTCATAAATTCAGGCAATACACTCATACGCATAATAAAAATAAATATTTTTTTAAAAAGTCGATCTCTGGGGCTGGACAGATGGCTCAGAGGTTAAGAGTACTAGCTGCTCTTGCAGAGGACCAGAGTTCAATTCTCAGCACCCATATGGCAGCTAACAACCATTCCTTACTCCATTTCCAGGGGATCTGACACCTTCTGACCTCCACAGGCATTGCACAACACCAGTATACCTACACACATGCAGGCAATACACTCATACATATAATATAAAAATATTAAGTTGGGTGAGGTGGTGCAGGCCTTTAATTCCAGCACTTGGGAGGCAGAGGCAGGCATCTCTTCCCTTTTCTTTTCTTTCCCTTCCTTTCCCCTTCCCTTTTTCCTTTGTCCTTTCTCCTTTCCCCTTTCCTTTCCCTTTTTCCTTTTCCCTTTCTCCTTTTCCCTTTCTCCTTTCTCCTTTTTCCTTTTTCCTTTTTCCTTTCTCCTTTCTCCTTTTTCCCCTTTCCTTTCCTTTCCCCTTTCCTTTCCCCTTTTCTTTCTTTCCTTTCCTTTTTTGGTCTTTTTGAAACAGGGTCTCCCTGTAGCCCCAGCTGGCCTTGAACTCACTATGTAGACCAGGCTGGCCTTGAACTCACAGAGATCCACCTGCCTCTGCCTCCCAAGTGCTGGGGCTACAGGCGTGCACCACCACTCCCGGCCCTATTTAAATTTTTAAACAAAAATAAAGACATTTTAATGAAAAAAATATTTTGGCAAAAAACATGCACTATGAGGGCACTTTTAAAAAGTGCAAGTCCTTGGAAGGGTTGCAAAATATTTTCGGAAAGAATTTCCTAATCCTGTGATTGCGCATGGTAACACCAATGTCACGGAGAAGTTTAGAAGGATATAAGAGGCTAAGCCTGGGGCCCCAGGATCCTAAGTCGCTGTGGGCCCAGCGCAGACTGGCTCAAGTTTGACCCAGGAACAGCCCTTTCCTTTCTTCAGGCACTCACAGGCTTGGGTCCCATGACAACGTTGCGGAAAACTTCGTGAGGTTCCCAGGAACCCCTATCAGCCATCCACCATCCGGAAGTTAGGAGGCTGGGTGGGGTCCCTGAGCAAGGACTGTTGCCAGGGCAAAAACATCAAGGGGCTTCGGGTGGAGGCCCGGGCAACGCCAAGGCTGTCCAGGGGATGGGGGTCGAGGCTGGGTGGAGGCTCACCTGCCGCTGTGCTAAGAAGGTCTCCCAAAGATACACGATCCAGGAGAAGAGCAACACTGCCCCGAAGATTCGCTTCTCCGCCGGCAGGTCCCACAGAGCGTCCACCGCCGCCCACATCCCCATGGTCACCCAGTTCCACTCGCTCCTGCAGCGTGCACCGGTGCCACACCGACACGCGTCCCCTCAGGAAGCTGCGGTGTCACAGCGATATAGGTCCCTTCCGAAAGCCTCTTCAGACCCCCACCCCCTCAGAGCGGCCAGCAGTGTCACAAAAACACTCTTCCCCTTCCTGATTCCCCTGGGCCGCTAGTTTCTGCAGGAATAAGACCAGCCCCATCTTCCTCACTTCCGGTTTGCCTGAGCACCGGTGCATCAACATCCTTCCGGGTTCTCTGTGCTGTGCTCCAACCCGAGGTTCCGGCTTTCCCCAAAGGCGGGACCGCTCATTCCCGCCTCTACTTTCTAATCTGGAAGGAGGTAATGCCCTTGGGCCCCTCGGATTGCACTGGTTGTCCAGAGATGGCTGCGATTCCTTGGTACTTAATCCCACTGGTGGGACAAGCCATCTGGCCCCCTGGCTTAGCTGGAACTGACAGAATGGGTCGCCACCTTGTGGTAGCTGGGAAGGCTGAGAGAGTGACAAACCCAAAGCATTCATTATTCAAGTGCTCTTCAGATGGTTAGAGGGCAGCCTTGGGATACCTCAGTAGTCAAACAAAGCTTTAAAAGTCGGGTCTTTTCCTCGATGTGAAACTAGAGATTCTGAAAGTATAAGAAAGCATTGGCAGTAACCTACAAGATGTAGGTGTAGGAAAGGACTTTCTAAACTAGGTATCAATTGTTCAGGAATTAAGGCCAAGAATCAACAAGTGGTACCTCATTAAACTAAAAAGCTTCTGTACAGTAAAAGAAACAATCCAGAAAGTCAAGAGAAAATTCAGAGTGGGAAAATATCTTCACCAGTGACACATCTGACAGATTTAACATCCAGAATATATAAAGAACTCAAAAAGCAAAGAAGCAAGAAAGCAAATGACCCAATTAAAAGATGATCTAAAGAGAGATTTCTCAAACGAAGAAATAAAGATAGTTAGGCAACATCTTTAAAAGTATTCAACATCATTAGTAATTAGGGAAAGGCAAATTAAAACCACCTTAAGATTTCACCATACCCTAGTCAGATTGGCTGAGATCAAGAGAACAAATGATACCAAACACTGGCAAGGATGTGGAAAAAGGGAAATGCTCATTCACTGCTGGTGGGATTGCAAACTCATGCAACCCCTATGGAAAGCAGTGTAGAGAACTCTTAAAAAAACAAACAAACAAAACAAAACAAACCTAAAAATGAAGCCGGGCATGGTGCCACCTGCCTTTGGAAGCATGCAGATCTCTATGAGTTCAAGATCAGCCTGGTCTACACAGTGAGTTCCAGGCCGGCTGGGGCTACCAGGAGACCCTGTCTCAAAAAGACTAAAGAAAACAACCAAAAATGAACCTACTATATGACCTGCTTATAGCACTCCTTGGCATATACCTGAAGGACTCATCTTATTGCAGATACTTGTACAACCATGTTTATTGCTGCTCTTTTCACAATAACTAAGAGAAGAAGCAACTTAAGTGTCTGTCAACTGACGAGTGGTTAGTGAAAATCACAATGGAGTTGTACTCAACAGTAAAGAAAGATGAAATAATGAAACTCACAGGTAACTGGATGGATCTAGAAATTGTTATACTAAGTGAAATAACACAGACTCAGAAAAACAAAACATGCATGTTCTCCCTTATTTGTGGAACCTAGCACCAAGTCCTTATAAACAAGTATCCCAGTCACCACCCATTAAAGTAGCTTCTTTTTCAACAGAGATTATTACAGAGTCACACCACTGGTCACAAACAGAGATTCCCTGTGAATTTCCCAAGCCTAAGTGGCACATCTAGGATGTAACCTCTACACTTAAGACTCATGGAACATAGAGCAAGGGATGAAGAAAACACTAATGCTTCTTTCAGTTCTCATCAATGAAGCTCCCTCATGCAACAGACAGCCAGGAACACAAAATGCCACAAATGGCCAAAACGCAGAGAATAAGAGTCAGCAGAGTGTGGGTCCTTGGACAAGGTCTCCTATATTGAGGTCCACCCACCCAAGGCTCAGGGACCATTGCAGAAGAGGGAGTGGAAAGATTGTAAGAGCCAGGGAGGAGGTGCACGAACATACAGAAACAGTCCTACAGGCACCTGGAACCCTACTCACACAAACCAGCAATGGTGTCAGCATGCATAAGACCCATGCAAATTTCGGCAGACAAAAGTCCAGTACAGAAATGTGGAAATGAACAGCAAGCCCCAAACTTAGTGGAAGAATTATTGGCAGCTGATTACTGCTGGGTGAGGAAGAGCTGATCTTCTTGAAGGACAGATAGGCTGCCAAAGAGGAAGGGGAAAGGGGAATAGGGTGATTTTATGTATAAAATATTCAAAATTCAATTAAATTTTTTAAAAACTTAGCAAATTGGAAAAACTTGTGACCAAGCTAACAAGAACAAGACAACAGATGTGAATTACCAAACTAACAACAAAAAAGAAGATACTACTGATCCTTCAGACATTAAAGGAATAAGGGAATAATAGGAACAAATCTATAAAGAATTCGATAGCTTAAATGCATCAGTTATTTGAAAGCTACAAACAAAAGTCATCCAAAAGAAATAAATAAACCTTACATCTATTTTTAATTAAATTTTTAAATTTAAAGAAGGAAAACTTTGCAAAGAAAAATAGGAGAGAAGAAGAGTAGGAGACATGTTTTATTAATGGGGAAATGGGTAAAAGGGGAGTATTTAAGTGGGAGGGGGAGAGGGAGGGCTATACAAGGAACTATGGGGGTAAAGGGAAAGAAACACGAGAGGAGGAACCATAGGGAGAAATAGGGGAAATGGGGGTGCTTTAACTGAGGAGGGAGGTAGGAGAGTTAGACAGGGAGCGATGAGAGCCTATCTGGTATAGAAAACCAGAGGGAATCATATTAGTTCAATAACCTCCATGAGTCTATGTGTATAGCTGAAGGTTATATAACAAGAAACAATGCCAGACAGGAAAAACCTCCCATTGAGTTGTTGGCCAGGATAGTCCAGGAGATTCCCAAAATTACACAGGCTATCATCACAGCCCTTGAGTGCCTCCCCAGAACTTGAAGGTAAGACCCTACTGCTGAGGATAAGACATACTTTGGACACAGGACTTGGAGCAACAGAGCTGGAACTGAGCTGGAAGCCACCTTCCTGAAGGGTAGCTCTTTGTAGTTTTGGAATACACTGTGCAAGCTGCTAAGGGAAAACATCAATTGAAGATGCCAGAGAGGAACCTTTAAGTTCCTCTTACCCCAGCCTTAAGTTCTAATAACCACAGCAATGACCGGCACGGCAAACTATACTAGGGCAATAGTGACACTTTTATCTTGGGGGTAATCAACAGCTACCTAATAGGACCTTAAAGACTACTCCACGGGCGGTAACTCACATGTGATTCTGTAAACACAGCCAAATACACCTGTCTGGAGAGATCATAGATCTCTGAGAAAAACCCCCAAGGCTGTTGCATTCTTAGAAAAATGTAATTTCTTACAATATGCTAAATATGGATCCTTATATTTACAGAGAAGTATGCCAGTCACGACTCATTGACTCATTAAAGAATCTTCTTTTGCAATGGACAAACTATTACGGAGTTCCAAAACTGGTCACACACAAACTGTGAAATGCCCAAGCCTAAGTGACACATATACAATGGAACTTCTACACCTAAGACTCATGGAACATAGTGGAACAAGGGGTAGAAAGACTACTAATGCATCTCTCAATTCTCATCAACAAAGCTTACCCTTGAAACAGAGGGTGATGAACCCAGGGCTCAGGGACCACTGAAGAAGAAGGGGAAGAAAGACTGTAAGAGCCAGGGTAGGAGGTATGTGACCATATGGAAATAATCTTAGAGCTCCTGGGACTTGCTCATATGAACTTACAGCAATGATGTCAGCATGCCCAAGACCCATGCAAACTCAAGCAAAAACTTAGTATAGAACTTTGCAAATGGGCAGCAGGCCCTAATCATAGTAAAGGAACTATTGGGCAACTTATTACTACTAGATGAGAAAGAGCTGATCTGCTTTAAGGGAGGGACTCTGTATAGTCTGGCTAGACACCAGAGGATGAACTTGCACTGAGGGATGTCAGAGGACACTGACTTGACAGGCCTTAACATAAGCATGATATCCAGTGAAAGGAGGAAACGAGGCTATGGGACGGTGCTGATAGGGAAGGAGGTATAAAGAGGACTAAGATGTTGTGGATCGAACAAACATTCAATAAAAGTATATTTAAAAAAGAAAAATGGGGTTCTTTGGCACAAGGGTGTTCTGATTGAAGGCACATTAAAGTAATGAGAATGGCAGTTGTAGAATTCTTACTTGCACTTTTCATCTCCTCTTCCTCAAGTGCAGTCAGAGGAGGCATTGTGCCTATGTCCTGGAACAAGACAACTCTGAACAGCACAGGAAACGGGCTGGGCATGACCTCTACCACCATAATCCCAGCAAGAACTTGTTTCAAACAACAGCAACCACCACCACAACACTTACCCCACACCACAGCTCAGTACTATTTCTGTATTGGAATTCAGAAGTGAAATGTGGTCACTGTGACCTCTGTTAATATATTTACTTTAAAAGTGAAGTCAGTTTTTCTGACCAAAAGTAAATCTGACCAAAAGTTAATGCAGGAAACCGTAGGGTGAGATGAGCCTAAAACTTATAAAGCTCAGGCTAAGTTCTCTGAAGAAAGGGGCGCTAAAAACAGCAGCCCTCAAATCCCTGTCTCACAGAACACATCAGGAAAAAGGGAAAGCATCTGGGTCAACAACCCTTAGCCCTCCTTATTCTGAACAAACAACTCTCAATTATTACTACTTTAAAAACTAGGCTGGGGCCGGGTGTGGTAATGCACGCCTTTAATCCCAGTACTCAGGAGGCAGAGGCAGGTGGATCTCTGTGAGTTGGAGGCCAGCCTGGTCTATATAGCCAGTTCCAGGTTAGCTGGGGCTACAGGGAGACCCTTTCTAAAAAGACCCCTCTCCTCCCCCCAAAAACTAGGCCGGGTTAAAGGTTTACTCCTTGGCTGAAAGCTGAAAGTTTACTATGCTTTTAGCCCCAAGAAAAAAAAACACTGTGGCCAATAAATTACCAGATGGGCCCAGGTAACCATGAGTAAAAGATTCTGTAAGACTCTGAAGACAACAGTTGATTAAACATAGCACAATGGTCTCATTACTTGGG